ACGAGCTTTCACGAGCATAAAGCAAAGTTATGTGCTTCACGATTCGTCACCGAGATCGAGACCTGTTTTTTAAGAGATCTGCCTGCTTAACCACCCTCGCTACCTTTAAATCGGACGCGAGAGTGAACGACGAGCAAAGCCATTAATGCCATTGCCTTCTTGTCCTTGTATAAATTTAACGAAGCAAAAGATGTAGCTTCGGGGCACATCCGTGTTTCTCCATCAAGTACGCGAGTAGCTTCCCTCTCCGAACTTCAGCTATTTTTTCTCCTAATTGCTATCTTACAAATTTACTTTGATACAGTTTCCACGTGCTTTATACTTCCTTGGATGAATTAATGCATCGAGTTTCCGAAGATTTTTAATGATCCTAACAATCTCTTTACAAAGATTCATACTTTCATACGTTCTTGCAACTAGTTTTTGCACATGTATTATTTATGCTGTTTTTTTTTTAATTATTTACATATTCCCCTATTGTTGCATCAAAATTATACTTATTTAAATTATTATTTATTTTCAAAATTATATTTTACACGTCCGATAAAACATTCATCTTTGTTCGTTGAGTTTGTGTGCGTTAGTTTTTTTTTTTTTTTTATTAATGTAATCAAAATTCTAATTAAGAAATATGTTCTACGAGACAGAAAAAATATTAAAGTCTTGTGAATTCAGAAGAGACGAACAACGGAGATGTTATTCCTTCCTCGGAGTACTTCATAAGATTGAATTTCGTCTATTTGTTTTCACATGCAGACACATACATGCATACATACATACACGTTCTACATACACGTTCATAACATGAGCGCACATATATATACATAGAGTGACGCACCATCGATCTTTTAAAGTAATCGACAATAAGACTTGAAAAACACAAAGGTGAAATCTTTTTAGAAAAAAGATAACATTTTCCCCAGTCGCCTATTGAAAAGCTTCAAAATTCATGCTTCCGTAAATCTTTTCACACGCGTTATTCGGTGAGAAAAATATCACCTCTAAAGTCACAATATAATTTATAACTGAAAATCGTATTCACTTAAAAATTCTTATAGCCAATTTTTAAAGGAAATTACCTTTAATCATTTAGTAAAAGAAATTTGTGACCTCTCATCTGAAAGCAAGTTCTAATATCATAATAATTAACTAAAATATTTTTTCTTCTTTGTGAATGCAGAGAAGAATAAAGATAAGCGCAAGTGCTGGGAGCAAGAGGAGCATTATTTCGATGCTTTTAAAGTAAAAGGGACAGACATAAATTAATTACTAGGATGCTGCGGCTACGAATGAACGTAAGCTCGGGAAAGGTAGGTGGGGAGATGAAAAAAAGGCGACAGAAAGAGTCTAATTTGCAGGGTGTGCAACTTAAAGCTGCAGAGCGTCTTTATTAAACGAGCCCGCGGCTCGCCCTCGTACCTTAACCGCGATATTACTCAGGGGTGAGCCACGCATTAACACGAGAAACCCCTCACGCTATTCTTCCTCAGTCCACGTCAAAAGTTATACCCACCTCTCTTTCACACTTTAATGCTTCTCTCTTTCCTTTTATCCTCTGTCTTGTCTTCTTCCTAATATTACTTTTTTTTTTTAATGAACAATTTTAGGGGAGGGGGTAGAATTATTGATTCTAAAATTTATTTTATCTAATGCACATAAATAGACCTAATGTAAATGGCCTTTAAAAATAAAAAAACAATGAAAAAAACAGTAATAATAAATATGAAAAAATATCTTTTTTTTAATACTACAATGCGATGCCAGTTAATAGTATCAAATGATACAAATTTTACTTATTAATTTTAAACCTTTATCTACTTGAAACTTTAATGCACATATAGATATTTTCTTAAAGGCATGAAATTAAATGTTTGTAAAATTCTACTGTAAATAAAATGATTCTACTCCAAGCGAACTACTTCAATGATTCCTGCAAGCGAAAAAATATGATTATTTTACATTCGCTAGGTAAACATACTGTAATAACTTTTTATGCCCAATAAAAGATGTATAATATTAGAATTAAAACGAATTTTAACAAAATAATATTTTTTAGTTTTATGATATAAAATTCAATCCAATAGAAATTTAAAAAGTATTTAAAATTATTAATATTAAATTATTATTATAAAAATTATAAAAGGTATCGCCTTTTATAATTTTTATTTTTTCGTTACGATTTTCATGTCACCAGTACTTTCCCAAAACGGTTAGTCGCAGTACTCTCAATACCCTCCGCTCTATCACAAATGATCATATTGCCGAAATCCATGTCATCCTTTTTTTTATTTTACGCAGACCTTAATTGCCTACCATTTAAATAGATAAAAATAAATGCTTACAATTCCAAATACTATATATAGCCCTTGCTCAATGGTTTTTTTTTGTTTTTTTTTTTGTTTTTTTTTTTAGTAATACTTTAAATGACTCGATAAATTTTTCGCTATTATTTATATATTTCAATAACTACTTATGCTATGCAATCACATAGAATAGCAACAATAACAAACAAAAACAAAAGTAAAAGCAGTACACTGTGATTTAAATTATCTTTAATGAAATATAACAATTACTAAAATAAGAATAGACAGAAAAATTTAAAAAGGTGCTTGTTTAATGAAATTAATCAACGTTCAAGTAAGTAAAAGTACAAAATTACCCAGTATCTTTACTAAATAAGAAAATAAACGGTTAGAAGTTAGTGAAAGTTTATAGGTAACTAAACCATAAATAAGAAATGGGCGCAGTCGTGCGGCAAGTACCTTTTAAATACTTAAACAAGACGATAAGCGAATTTTAGCCCACAGATACGGAGCAACGAGCAAGCGAATGAGCAGCCAAAGCCAACGGCAGCGTCAGTAACTAGAAGATGAACAATGGACGACCTCGTTACATTTTCAGCCCTTGATAGTTAAGTCCCCTCCCCTTACCAGCCGTTCGCCACCTGCCACCCGTGACGTCAGCTACGCTTGCGCGCTTGAACATTCTTAGCGTTCAGCAGCGAAATGATGCGACGTCTTGTATTAAAGGCATTCACTAACAGTTGCATCAATACAATGCCAAGCCACGCTTTTTTCTTCTTTACTCTCGTCCCACCACCTCGTTACCAATCTCGTGCTTTTTAAAAGCTGCGCACACACCCGCATGAGTAAGGAACTTTGAATTTATTCCACTTTCATTCCATTTCTTACTTAAACCAATCTTTTGAGAATTGCTAATAAGAAATTAGTCACCCACAAGTTGGCACATACCCATTGAGCAGATCATATTAAAAATGTTATAATCTTCTTATTCGTGTTTCTGCTTTTATCTTACATAAGCATAACTTTTAATGTCGAACAGACTGTATTATTTATAAAATGATGTTAGTGTAACTAAGAGTACTTTTTCAAATACCCTGTTCTGGGTTTAATCATCCCTCTATTTTTATGTTTATTTTAACCATGGAATTTTATTTTTATTGATTTTCATTATTTTAGGAATAAAATTTAATTTAATGATATCTAATTTAAATGAAAGTAAATATAATAAGCATTAGACGTAGAAATTAATGTGTCAAAATTCAACAAACAATACCTACAATAAAATTTATTATTTTACCATAATTCTCAAGACTATACAAATTGGTAAAATTTATAGATAACAGTTGCGCTTTCTTTCTCTCTCTCTCTCTCTCTCTCTCTTTCGCTCGCTCTCCCTCTGAAATATACAATTCTTATTTTAATTTCAACGTATATATTTTTTCACATTTTTGTAATTCAAACAAGCCAATATCGACCGCCGATTCAATACCATTTTAATTTCCGGTATGAAAAACTTGTAACAGAACGATGAATATTCATATTATATATATGAAAAGCCTACGAATTAGCAAAGCATTCAAGTACATCAGCAGATATCCTATACTCTTTTGTGAACAACAGAAAAATTTAGTTAGGAAAAATCGAAATCATACCGAATCGTATGTGTTGAAATTATTTCACTATCATAAATTTTTTATTAAAAAATATTATGAAACAGTCTTATTTTTAAAGAAAAATCATTTTTAAATAGTAAAAATTAATTCACATAAATATATACGCCAATAATAATGCTGTCTTGTTACTTAAAAGTTCGAATTAATAACAAAATCATCCTATTCTATAATTTATAAATATAGAATATAAACCACCTAAGGGAGATACATTTTAAGGAATCAACGGGGTAAATTGTTTATAAATTACACGAGCATTAATTATAGAGCATAATTCTGCATTCGCGAAGGTGTATTTTGATTATCTTGACGCGATAGCCGTCGGCAACTTGGAAATACAGAGAGCGGGCACTAATTTCTATTTAGCCTCTTTGTTGATATTCCTGAGTCCGTTGCTTCTGTTGCTGCTGTTGCTGCTATTAAATTAAATGAATAGATAGGTAGTTTTCTAAAGAATATTATTCGATAAAAATCACAAGAATAAACCAAGTATTACTTTAATAAAACTAAAAATACTTAAACACTTTTCTTACATCAACTAATGCAATTTATTAAAGATTTTGTATAACATTAAACGAATGCCATTAATGCATGATAATAATAAATGAGCAATCTAAATTGTTTCGATGAAACTACAAATTAGAAATTTTAAAATCCAAATTAAAATTTAAATAAATGAACGAAATAAAATAAAATAATAAAATCAGTATATGAACAATAATTGAACGTTATTATAATAATATAATAAGTAAATGATTAATAAAAACTACTTCTTGATTGTTGCCTAAAGTTGAAAACTTGATATTAATAGAAGATGGACAATCCCTTTACGTTTTTTTATTATAATGATTTCTAATTAAAAAGATTTAAATGCTTTGAAGTATCAAAACCATTAATTAGACACTCAAAACCGTGAAACAAATACTAATGAATGCAGTTTTCAAGCATTATAGATACCTCCAAAATTTATAAGTAAAATAAATAACTGAATAATAACGAATTTTATGCAAATAAGTAGCGCACTTACGTTTGATGTATTAGCAATAGCATTTGTAGGGCTTCCTACTGCATTATTATGTGCCTGGTCGGTTTTTAGTTCCCGGTGATTACTGAACTGGACATAAACAGCCCTGGCACGAAGTTGAGCCGGACACGAGGCATAGTATGTTACCATTGTGGCTGCTGCACCTTCGTCCGCCATTTCTAAAAATGCCTAAAGAAGAAAAAAAACAGAGAAAAAAATTTAGAAATTTTAATTGAATTATAGTTGATATAACTGTATAATATGCGTTACAGCTTTATAAATAATTGGATACTTTTAAATTCGTTACAATATAATTTATATTACACGTTAATAGTGCGAATGAAAGGTTTTTTCAATTGATACTATATACGAGAAATAGCTTAAAATGATAACGTGTAAATAAATTTCATTTGAAAGGGCTGCGAAAATTGAAATTGCCTCGAGTTCAATTACGAATAAGCTAATTGCGATAGAAATTTATAAATTTTGAAAATTCCTAATTTCACCGGGTTATAAAAAGAGAATAAAAGAGAAGAAATCTCCGCGAGAACAATAACAAAGAGAACCACGAACATTTTGTAAAGCAAATCTTGAAATTACTTTCAGTAAATCTCTGTGCGCCAGCCTCGAGCCTTCGCTAAATTCATACTCCGCGTATATTCATCCTTTTACCCTCGCCGTGCCTCTGCCCTTCTTAATCCATTCTCGTTTTTATCCTCTTCAATTGCATTCATTAAATACTACACTATCTTGTACTTTAAATATTTTTCACGATACGTGTTACAATACATTTTCATCCTTTAATTAAACCAAGCACAATTTTCAGCTCTCCTCGCGTCTTGCATCTATGTCACTTGCATAAAATAAAGCGCAATTTTTTATCTATTTTAAAATAATTCGAAAATAAATTTTGAATTCATATATGTAAAGCTTAACGCGCCATGTGGCGTAGATATTTTTAAAATCGTTGAATGCCGTTTAGTTCCATCCAACGTTTAGTAACGACAGTTTATTGGTATACGTGAAAGCTGACTAGTAAATCCCGTTGCGTCTAGAGTAAATTATAGACAATTTCAAATTGACGGTTAGACAATTTGCTTAAAAAGTTAATTCAATTGGGTTTCCATTATGTACAAATATTTCTTAATTCGCTCTATTAATCAAAGTAACTGATAACATTCACAAGTGAATAAGTAAGTAAAAAGGGAACATCTTAAAGGAGAAAGACGATATTTTGAAAAGTGGTTTGACTTTCAACGATCCGACACATCCTACACAAATGCCCTACATTACCTCCGCATCCAATATAAAATATTTAGAACTTAAGAAAAGCTCTTCTTACAGTTTCATAAAAAGTTCAAAAGTCGGCAACGACCAAGTGGCAATCGACGATCCCGATCACCAACAACAAACTCGCCAACTAGTACAAATTCTGGGGGTGTCGAGATGCTCGGGTGGACTTTACGTTAATACACCAGTACCTGATCTTCACGGCCGTAGTGCACAGCCGCGGTTCCGTTGCACAGGAACGTGATGATGACGAGGGTACAGCTAAAGCGAGGTTAAAGCGGCCGACGTCGTGTATGTGCGCCGTAACCGCTTGAGGTATTCGCGGGGTGTTGGAGGCGATGGAGGAGTAGGAGGAAGAGGAGGATGAGGAGGATGAGGAGGAGGAGGAGGAGGAGGAGGAGAAGGAGAAGGAGGAGGAGAAGGAGAAGGAGGCGGAGTAGGAGGAGGAAGAGGAGAAAGAGAAGGTGGAGGTGGTGATGGTGGTAGTGGTGGTGGTCGCGGCAGCGGCCGCGGCGGAAGCAACACGCGAGGGAAAACTTTATCGTCGTGTTGAAAACACTCCCTTAAGTAGCTTGGGCAGCGCATCGCTGGCCAGGAAAACATAAATAATCCATCCCCCGTACCTGCGAGCGGTAAGTTCAGGTGTGCATCTCGAGAAATAAAAATAAAGGATAGAACTACCGTGCACAGAGAGGTTTACGATCTTTTAATGAATTAGCTGTCATGGAATAGGAGACGGACAAAATTTGATGGCACTTCAATTCTTACTAAGAGAGAAAAAAATTAAATGGCAGTTACGCGACTGCATTTCATTGATATGTTCGTAGTAAAGTATATTATAATGCTAGTACTAACTTTGTAATAGTGAGGTTTTCATCGCAAATCAATGGATTGAAAGAATATTGTATGCGACTCACGAAGAGAGTTGTGGTTTTTAAATAAAGCGATTACTTGAGATACGAGTAATAAAAATTAAAAGAATTAAAGTGTAAATTCAGAAATAAATTTTATGAGTTTATATGGTACGTACACTTTGTTGTTGTAAACATGTACTTAAACCTTTAGTACTCCAAATTCCTATTATTTTATCTACATGCATGTTCCTCGTTACAAAGAATTATTGCTTTGCTTTCGTGTAACCTTTATATTTACTTCTTCATAGTACTTTCATTTTAATTTTAAATTACCAACTTTTCGTCGTGTAATGATTATCAAGGTCAATATATAAATGATAAGCTCATAGTATAAAATTAATGATTACTAATAATTGAATTTTTACATTGCAAACTAAACTCGTTAGTGTATGATTTACGTTATAGAATCCATCCCCACATTAATTGTTTTATAAGAATACAATCTTAAACAGATGTAAATTTCATTTATCTACCTCTTTACATTTATTTATAACATACATCCATGCTAATTCATTCCTTTAGCATATTATGTTTACCTATACATTTAATAAATATTATTTACACCATGAGCAATGTTTTTTTATCGATTTTTAGTTATTTTCTTTAAATTTAAATGAATTGTAGAAAATTACATATCAATAAGAGATAAGAGCATTATTAAGAATTAATTAGTATACGTTTTAATTTTAAAAGCTTAAAATGATAAATAACAAATTAACAATATGCGTTTTCATGTGTACTTAAAAATATATAAATTAATATTTCGCAAAGATAGGAAAATAAGAGAAATAAAGGTGTAACACAATTACAAGTATACGGAAATTGCTAGCAAATGCTTATCTGAAATTCACATTTACGTAGCGCTGGGTTGGTATCATTGAAAAAGAACGACTGAATTCTGAAGCATTCCCACGATTCATGATTAACATAAAACAAAAAACAAAACAAAAAAAAACAAAAAAAATAACACACCAGCGGCATACGTAAAACTCTAGGAAACAAAATATATGAGGTTGTATGGAAAAATCGTGATAGTAAACCACTTAAAATATTGATAATACCAAGCAACTAAAATTCATCATGCATTTATTGCCGTGCCAATAAAATAGGAGATACACCTAGAGAGAACGTAGATAGAATAGAGACCAAGAAATGAGTTTATACTATATTATCTATTCAAAAGAAATCCCAGTGCGTTTGAATCCTTACAAGTCCTCATAAAAGAGAGGCATAGGAAAATGGAAATAAAAAACCTTGGGAAGCATTTGTGTCACGTACTTTTCTTTCTCTTTTCATTCTCGGGAGTCGATATCGAGTGGCATCAGAGAGGTTAAACGACCAATCGCTAAGGAACTAAGGAACTATAAATGGGTAGGAGACAGGAAGAAAGCGAAAAAAGTTTAGAAGCACAAGCAACAGCAGATGATATAGAAACGAATTTATATTTGAATCTTAATAAAGCCTTGTAGTTTATTACTTTTTCAAAATTGCACGAAATACCAAAAAGAAGTATTTGGAATTTTGAAAAATGATTATCTGCTTCTAAGAAGCACTAGTAGATATAGTAAACGAGTAGACATATATTTTATTTTTTTACAGAAAAAGATTTTTTAATTTCTATTGTTTGCTTGTCAATATTATAAATTTTCATAGTTCTAGAATATTCTCGTTATATATAAAAATATAAATATTTTAGAAATAGATTAATGATAAAAATAAGGAAGAAGTTTGTATACAAATACGTTTAACTACTCAAACTATCATAATTGATAACTAAACAACAATAATTACTTTCTAAGCTCTTGTATGCAATATATAATGAATATAAAGATATATCGATTATTACAAATACTATATATATATATATATATATATATATATATTTCTTGATTTTGTACTATGAAAGAAATAATGAATTTTTCATTTTTTGAAATTCGATACATATTTTTACTTTACTTTATATACTAAGAAATTTCGTCCGCTCAAATGAAAACTAGTCCTTACTTTAAAAATCAATTATAAATATTTCTTATGCATAATAAACATAAATTGGGGTATTAATTAGTTAGTAAACAAATATATACAAACAGCTGCAAGTTTCTATGATTAATTTAATTGAATTATTATTCGTGAAATATAAGCGAAATGGAATGAATACGTTGAGCATTTCACCGACATTTGCCACTTAAAAGAAATTCCAGTGCGTCCGTTGGTGCACATCAATAGACAGTCAACTCGATTTTCCATGAACAGTGGACCGAGCTCCCCAACCTCCAAAGTTTTCGTGCGACTCCATTTGTGAGCTATTGAATGAGAGAAGGACGGCACACGAAGTCCAATTTCCGAGTGACCAACGAGGAGGTTTGTCAGAGGTCATCAGGAAGTAATGTGCCGACTGTTATATTCTTCAGGGTCTTGAAAGCTGACCCTTTTTTTATTTTATTCATAGAAGTGCAAAGTAACAGTTTTATGATATTGAAATACGATTTGTAAGCATGTAACCTCACATTAGTATCAGATTTCCTCTTCGGAAAGTATTTATTTATCTTAGTATAGTTATTTATCTAAGTATTAAGTTTATATATTATAAACTAAATCACTCTTTTAAGTATCAATTAAATAATATAAATGATTACATATTAACATATAATATAATATAATATAAGAACAATAATATTGAGTTATAAATACATTATAATGTACTAAATAAATATTGCTTACATTTTTAAATCAGAATACTATTATTTGTTTAGCAAATCTGCTAAATTATTAAATTCTAACAAAGACATTATCAAATAAAAAGTGCTATTTTATTACATACAATTGAGCATTAAACAAAAAATCTAAAAAACAAGTCTTAATTTCTTAATTTTATTTAGAAACATTGTACGGAGATATATATGTGAAAATAAAATGATTATCGTAATCTCCTTTCATTGCATTCAATAGGTTTTCAATACATTTCATTTCCTTTCCAAATATATA